CAGGACAGACAAAAAAAGCCGAGTGGAGGAAACCAAGACATTACACAGACTCTCTTTCAGTGGGCTGGGGACGGTGGTCTTTGGGTTGGATGTTACTCCCTTAATTACTCCATTATTATTATTATTATTATTATTATGTGAGTAAATATGCCTGTTGGAGTGTTTATGGCAGCCCTTTTTTTTCTGACCGAGTGATTGATCTGGAGACCATATTTTAATGCCTCGCGTCGTGTTGACGTTCTTTTTATTGGCCGAGCTGCTGTATAACAGTGACTCACTGTGTCCAGGTGTGCAGATGTACGTGTGCAACAGGGAACACTACGGTTTTCTGCCTGTCCCTCTCAAGGCACAGCAAAACGTGGAGGAAGAAAGTGAGAGCTTCATACACACAATCACCGAGGCTCTGAGTAAGTACACACCCACACACACACACACACACACGCACACACTCTACCTGTACTTTTCCTAAATACCTCCTGATCTAGCGATTATTCTGATCTTATGCTAGTACCCCAGCAGGCTGCATGAGTTTACTACAGATTTTAGACACAAGACAAAGAAACTACTCATATTAGCACTGATTTTCACTTGGAATTACCGTATTTTCCAGACTATAAGGGGCACTTTTTTTTCAACCTTTGGCTGGCTCGTTTGCGACTTATACTCGGGTGCGACTTATATATTAAAATATATAATTTCACATGTTTGTTATTTTCACACTGATAGCCACTAGAGGGCACTGTAGGCATATGTACCCCATCTGCTACTCCTGTAAGTCGCACTTTTTTTTCATCCTTTGGCTGGTGTGACTTATACTCCGGAGCGACTTCTTATGTTTTTTCTCCTTCATTATATTATTTTTTGGCTGGTGTGATTTATAGTCCAGAAAATACGGTAAACTGCCGCGACCCGGCCCTCGATGGGCGGACGATGATGGATGGATGAATTGCTACACTAGAGCTACATTACATACTTGTTATTCATTGGCAGGGGGCTGTAAGTTATTTCCTACTCTGTTCATTGGGAAAACTTTCAAAATAGTCACCAATCACTGTTTGCAGTCAGTCGTGCTGCAGGCTAGCGAAGATTTTCTGATGGCAGCAGGAAATTTGCGCTCACACGGTTGGAAGAGGTGTTAGCCTTATGTTGGAAAACTGTGGTTTCGCATATTGATCTGACTCCAATTCACCGTCGTCTGCGCTGATCTTTGCATTCACGAATTAAGCGCAGTCAAAAAAAAATGTTTTATTAACATTGAACAAAGAATATACTCTCACAGGGGTTACATACAGAGAGTTTCCAGGCTCTGGTTCGTGTCCCTGACACTGCACACAGTATCATTTCGCAACAGCTTTAATACGGTTTGTGGGAGCATTGTTGGAGCGTCATATGCACTGCAGCAGTGTGTATCCTCTGCAGCAGTGGAATTGATCAGATTAGAAAGAACATCGTAATCTGTGCCGCGGCTGCATCACAAGCACAACATTTAGGTGTTTCCCATCGTGCCAGTAGTTTTCCACAGATACTAGTACATTAATTCTAGCACATAATGTTCAGACTTAGAATGTTGTCCTGTGTTTGCTGATCTAACTGTTTCCTTTCTCCTTTGCTCTGACAACAGTTGACCATGACCTGGAGCCCTCCGAGTACCTGTATGCCCTACCGTCGCCGCAGGACACGATTGGTTTTGATAAAGTAAGTTGGAAACTGCCGACAGCCGTCTGAGACACTTTGGTGACGATGAATATTTACTTTGTTTCAAATACACACCAACCCTCTTTCTGCCAAAGCATTACTTCATTGTTTCGCTCTCACTTAAACTAGATCAGGTTTTTACTTGATTAACTTATGCAGAAAAAAAAAAAAAAAAACGATTTAACTCAGTGTTGTTCAAATTGTGTTATTAAAGTTTAATTTGCTCTCCCGTTCAAATGTCCAGATTTTTCTTATTAATCTCAAACGACGCCTGGACAGAAGGACCAGGATGTTGAAATCAATGGCTGCTTTGGGTCTACAGGGGGCGCTCACGGATGCAGTGGATGGAAAGTAGGTCACAGCCACACAGTGTTGAACGCTTTTAATGAAAATGTCAATTCACTTGACATTTGTTATTTATTATGATATATTATTATTATATATATATGTATATATATTATTATTATTTATATATTATATATTATTTATCTGAAGTGGTAGACTTCTGTCCTTCAGCAAACATTAACTACTACTCTACTTATATAATGTAAATTAACGTTGTATTGTTGTATTTCATATTAATAAAAAAAACCTACTGGACTTGTTATATTCCTTTCAATTTTTTTTTTTTTTTTACGTTACAGGGCTCTAAATTCATCACAGCTGCAGGAACTGGGTATAGAGATGATGCCAGGCTACAAGGATCCGTATTCTGGTCGAGTCCTGACAAGAGGGGAAATTGGTTGTTTCCTCAGCCATCACTCGATATGGAAACAGGTCAGAGTGTTTGCATGTTATACAAATGTGTTATGTTAACTCACAGCAAAGACCTGAAATGTAGATTTGACAGGATTCTCTGGGATCTCCGGTGCTTTGAAAACTTAAGATAAAGAAAAAAATAAACAGCACATTTTGAAGATTAAATGGTGGAGATTTTAGAGTAAAGTCGAGAGTATTTCGGGAAGGGGTTTACCAACCCCTGGTACGGGGACCGATGTATTTTAAAAATTTAATGATCCCGGTCCACAGTAACAGCTGATACTGGCTGACCAGTCCTTGGTACAAAAAATTTTAAAAAAGCCAAATTATTTTAGTTTACTTCATCAGAAGAGTCAACATCCTAATTTGGAGCAGATGGCTTGGGCTAATGTTTCTTTATTATTGTCTATTAATGTTGTGTTTTTTTGTCCTTTGTGACTTTCAGGTAGTCGACCAGGGCTTCCAGAAGGTTTTAGTTTTAGAGGACGACGTGAGGTTCGAGCCCTGGTTCAAACGCCGTCTGGAGACAATAATGGGCAACGCCGATAAAACTCAGCTTGACTGGGATCTCATGTAATAGCGTCCACCGCGTGTCTTAATATTCCATCTAAATATCAATGTCTGTACAGCCTCCTCAACCCAACTCCGTCTCCTTCTACTACAGCTATGTGGGACGTAAGCGTATGCAGGTGCAGCAGCCTGAGAAGTCGGTGGAAGGTGTGAACAACCTGGTGGAGGCCGACTACTCGTACTGGACTCTGGGCTATGCTCTGTCACAACAGGGAGCCAAAAAACTCTTAGCTGCGCAACCGTTATCAAGGATGCTGCCCGTGGACGAGTTCCTCCCCGTTATGTTCAACAAACACCCCAAGTAAGTGCAAATTTCACTTTATTTTGCTTGAAATTGATATGCACGCATTCAAAGATAGGACGATTAGAAATAACAAACATCACTCCCCCTGTGGCACAGAAAGGTACTACACCCACTTTCAATCGTAAAAAGTCAGTCTTACTAGCATTTAATATATTAAAAGCCAAGCTGTCAAAAGTTAGGAGTGATTGAGTGCAGGGGTCTCCAACTCAGGGTCCGGGGACCAGTGCTGGACATCTACTTCTGTTTTACTAATTTTCCATTTGGTGCCAGGCCGCAGTGGGACATCTACTTCTGTTTTACTAATTTCCTTCATTCAGAAATAATCCAGTCATATCCCTTTTTTCAATCAAAGATAATCTGTAAATGTTTCAAAACAACAGGTCAAAGGTCATTTAGACTCTGATACTGACAGATACTAACAGTCTAAAAAAATGTAAAAATCCTTCAACAATGGTGAGGTATTACCGGTCCACAGTAACGGCAGATACTGGCCGACTGGTCCTTGGTACAAAAAAGTTGGGGACTGCTAATTTAGTCTGGCCGACTGGTCCTTGGTACAAAACAGTTTGGGGAGTGCTAATTTAGCGGATGCTTTGTACCTCAAAACATCTATTAAGTACAATATATACATTTAAGAATAGTCCTAGCATAACATCTGACAGTAGATCTAAACGTAATGTTACCACTGTAGAAAAATAATGCAAGTTTACCGAACAAATATTCTGTACTACAATATTACTTACATATATAATTTATTTTTAACATGGCTTTAAAACCAACATACGATCCCTTAAGAACAGCTTAATATCTTACCCTTGGCCATAATCGAACGTACGCTTGCACACATGGAACCCAAAACCATGAAGGAGTTTGTAGTAATTATCTATACTTAGACCCAAACACATATGTTCATGTGCCTGTTGTGACTGGCCAGACTCTGAGACAGGCAGAAGTTTCCTGCTCTGTGCTTGGTGGTGGTTGACCACAACTTCCATCACACTCAAGTCCTCGCTGTGTTTCCCTGGATGCCTCCTCTTTTGTTCTCCTTCCCTTCTCTCCTTGTCACCGATTCTGGCCGTTTCTCAGACTGGATCCCTCTCATTTAAAGTCAGGCACAAGAGAAAACTTAATTTGTCATCATGCAGTTGAGTGAAGTTTCCACCGTTCCAGAGCCAGGCATAAATATAGCGACCAGCTTTAGCACACACTTCACCTCACTTCAGGAGAAAAAGGAAGTTTCCTTCAAGGAAAAGAAATCAAATTAGTTAGTTCCAAATATGGATTTTTTAAAATTTAAAATGTTTTTTTTAATTCCTATTTAGATGTCAACTTGACTAGACCAGAACAATCATAACATAATTAACTATAAATAAGTCCATGTTGAGCCCCTTTGTTTTCATGCAAAGACCTACAACTATCTTAGATTTATTATTATATCTTCATATTTAATGAAATATAGTTTTACAAAAATTATCCTGAACATGAAGTGTTTGTATTTTTATTTTTATTTTCAAAATTAATCAAATGGGCCACACTTAACACAATTGTGGGCACTTTTTGGCCCACGGGCCGTATGTTTGACACCCCCTGATTTAGATGTTTCCACAGTAATGTGATGAGGTTCTCACCAGTGACATTACTAAATGTCTAGATTTTTTTCGGGTTACGTTTAGACTCCACATGTAGAACCTTGTTTGTAAAAGATGTCTTGATTCCTATCAGTCTAAATAAACCTTTATTCTACCAGACCTCATGCATCACTGCAAACCCTGGTGGTTCTTGAGACTGTTTTGTGAGTGGTTTGAGAAAGTCATCCTTTGTCTTGTTTTTTTTTTTTTTGTTTTTCTCCTCTCCACCACCACCCGCACCTCTTTCTCCTCCTCCTCCTTCTCGGTCTCTGATCCTTCAGACACAGGGCATGGATTGTTCTTGGAGGTTCAGTGGGTGCAGTGCTTTCACAGGACACACAA